TGAGATAAGGATAGCTATACAGGGAGTTGACTCACATTAATTTCCTGTGTGTGTGTGTTGCCTTCTAGGTTAATTCTTTTTGATCTCACCTTTTCTGTAGTTCCTGGTCCCCTTGAATCAAATGAATTAAAACCATCTAGTTATAAATGCCCTCCCCATCAGCAGATGAGTCCTAACAAAATATTTATGTACTTTCTTTGTTTTAAAGGAAAGAAAACAATCTATTTCAATGTATTATGTTTTGCAATTCACAGAATTTCTTTCACATTTATTATTTGATCCTTAATGCTAGCATCTTGAAAGCGGTACTATGAAGAGCTGCTGCCTTCTGTCTCTGAGTATATAGAAGAGGCCTTAAGAAATGTGATCTTTTGTCTCCAATCTCTTTTAACTCATTTTGATGCACCAAGAAGTTTCATAAAATAGTGACCTAGTTATAAGTTTATATCCAAACAGTATATGAAAGTGTTAGATAAATTCATGATTAGGAGGTATAATTATTCCAGAGAGATTATTTTATTTATAATCTCCCATAGAAAAATTGTTGAAGTAGAAAAAATCAGAAACCAAAGAGTTAATTATTTAATGGAATTCAGATGTAATGCATTTTGTAACATATGAAACAATACATGTCATCCCCCTCCAATGTCTTTTGTGTATTCGGCTTTAAATTTGGGGATTTTTTTGTTTTTTTTTTTTTTTTTTGGTTTTGTTTTTGATTTTCACAGCACTGGGGTTTGAACTCAGGGCTTCATGCTTGCTTTTGGAGATTCTTTATTTTTCAAGATTTTTGTCACCTTTGTCCTTGTTGAGATTAATACAGAGTCTACCTAAGAGACTGAACTAGAATAATGTCTTTCTTGACCCCAGAAGTATATATTGCCTGCAGGTGTAGCTCAGTGGTAATGCTTGCCAACCTCCAGGCATGAGGCCTTAGATTTGATCCTCAGCACTGCAAAAATAAATAAATAAAGTATATGATTATATTGCACTGATGAAATGTTCTATTCCATGGATACTAAGCACCTTCTCACAGTTGCAGGACTGTTGAGGTGAGGAAGACAGTGTAATCCCTAGGCCCTAGGTTATACTCTAGAAAAGCCTCTCTGCAGGGTTCTCCTTGCCCAAGTTCTCTTCCACATTGTCAGGAGGTTTGTTTTTATAAAACAGAAAACAGTCATGTCACTTTCCTGCTTAAATATGTCCAAAGATTTGTGATAAAGAATTGTGTCGGATGCCGACAGCTTACACCTATAATCCTAGCTACTCAGAGGCAGAGATCAGGAGGATCACGGTTCGAAGCCAGCCCAGGCAAATAGTTTGCAAGACCCTATCTCAAGAAAAACCCATCACAAAAATAGGACTGTTGGAGTGGCTCAAGGTGCAGGCCCTGAGTTCAAGCCCCAGTACCGCAGAAAAAAAAAAAAAGAATTATTGCTAAGATTATTGAGGCTAGATGATGAGAAAATTTGGCTCATTATACTATTTTCTCTACTTTCATGTGTTTATAATTTTTCATAATAAATGTTTAATAGTAATAGAACAAATGTCTGGGAATCTACTATCTACAGGACAAGTAGAAGCTTACTAGCGTGGCCTATGGGAACCCTCCATCCCAAATGCCTTTAGCGTCATCGCCTCTCATGTTCATCTTATGGTTCTTTGTCTATTCAGTAAGTAAAATAGAGATAGTGGACTGTTCCTGTTCAGAATGCACAGCCTGCCTCCACCCCAGCAAGCTCAATACCTTGTACTCGCTAGGCAGGTACTCTACCACTGAGTGCCTTTTTGCTTTAGTTATTTTTCAGGTGGGGTCTCACATTTTTGCCTAGTGCTGACCTGAACCATGGTGGTCCCACCTGTGACCTCCTTCACGTAACTGGGATGCAGGCATGCACTACCGTGCCTGGCTTATTGATTGAGAATGAAGTCTACTGACAGCAGTCCTCCTGATCGCTGCCTCCTGAATAGCCAGGGCTATGGCATGAGCCACTGCACTTGGCCGATTTTAATTTATTTTACTAAGTAATTGATCATTTAAGTATTTTTTTTCTGCTAAGCAGAATTTCTCAAAGATTTTTTTTTCCCTCTTCTCTGGTTTAGCTGAGTTATAATACAAGTAATGTAGAAGTTAGGAAAATAAGAGAAACATTAAAGGTTTTGAATTTTTGTGTAACAAAAGTAATGGTCTAGATTCCATCAATTTTCTTTTTCTTTTTACTTTTTTACTTTTGCAGTGCAGGAGACTGAACCCAGGGCCTGGTGCATCCTGGGCAAGCTGTTAACCACTGAGCTAGACCTGCAACTCAGTACATACTTATTTTTATATGTAACACAAGAAATTATTTTTAAATCTAGTAGCAAAGTTTTCTGTTCTCTTTAATTCACAGTTCATTTTCAGTTACTCGTTGCCTTTTCTCTATGAAAGCTCATGTCTTATATATAATTTTAGGCCTCAAGAAATCAATAAAGAAGAACTAGAGGAAAATAGCATGAGATGTGGTAGAAAGCTTGCCAAAGACGGTGAAGTAAGTATGGGTTGTGATAACAATTCTCAAATTGCAGAGAAAATTTGACTCATTACCCTGTTGCTTGTACCCTCATTTGTTTGCAGTTTTTCATCATAAAAAGTTTAAAAGTAACAGAACCAATGTCTGGGAATCCCCAGACACTTTGCTTAACCATCATGAACCCATCATACTTCACAAGAACTTACTTGATAGTTTCTGTAGCCTGAGGTCCTAGACAAAGAGTCACAGCCACCATGCTCAGTGATGTGTTACTCAGCTTTGCATAAGCCTATTGAACTTAAATTTGGGGTCCAGATAAGATATTTGAGAAGAGGATTCCTCAGCAATCTAGAAATTAGGTGATTCTGATTTCCAGTTACCCTAAATCAATGACATTCAAACCCTTTGATTGTTACTTACATTAAGAATTACCTTGGGGTTACTGCACTAATTACCAGAGCTGATTCAGCTGATTTACCTGGCTAGACAGATCCTCCCTCACTGTTCTTTGTTCATCCGTCCTAAAGCTGCCCACTCAGTCAAAGAGGACGACCTTCCCCAATAGGTCTATGAGAAACTGTGCTCCCCTAGTAGAACCTCTAAACAAGCTCCCAAGTTGGTCAGGCATGGTGGCCCATGCCTGTAATCCCAGCCACTTGGGTGGCTGAGGCAGGAGGAACTCAAGTTCAAGGCTATCCTGAGCTACATAGCATGACCCTGTCTCAAAACAAACAAAGATTACATTTATTCTTTATTCCTTACCACCTAATATGCATGTCTGTAAGTAAAAGAAAAATATTTAAAATAGTGCTTACCTCTGCTGTATGATGAATCTGCTTAATTTAATTTTTAAAGCTGATCATGATCCATTACATTGATTTTGCAACCTAACTAATCATAATTCTCATCTTGAAACAAGTATTCATTTTTTTTGTTAACTCACTTCTTATTAAAAGTATTCTCCAATTCACTTCCAGGACAGCGTACTTGTTGCTTTTTTCCCTATGTCATTGGCTACTCCTTCTAAAGTCTTTCCTAGATCCTTCTCTTCCTCAACAAATGTTACTGTGACTAGAGTCTCAGTTCCTGGACTTTATTCCTATCTATGCTCATCCCTTAGCCATCTCATCAAGTCCCATGACATCTGTACACTGTCTGTACACTAAGGACGCCTAATTCTGAATTCATATATGTAACTACTCGGCATGTTTCTCGGATACATAAGTAGCATGTCAAATAAAACAGTCCAAGCAGAGCTCTCCAGTTTCATCCTTAAACATCCTCCTTTCCAAGTATTCTCCAACCCATTTTCCATTTACCTATTACACAGGCTCCAAACTGCAGATTCACTCATTCTTTTTTCATACCACTTTTGGTATCAGAAAGAAATTCCTCGCCAGGCATGGTGGTTCATGTCTATAATTTCAGATGCTTAGGAGGTAAAAATAGAAGGATCATGGCCTGAGGCCAGGACTGGGCAAAATCAAGAGACCCTATCTGAAAAATAAACTAAAAAGTAAAAAGGCCTGGAGATGATGCTGAAGTGGTAGAATGCTTACTAGGCAAGTGCAGGATGCTGAGTTCAAACTCCAGTACCATCGAAAAGAAATTCCTCAAGGGTCAGTACCTAAAATTTATTCTTAGCATGTCTACCACTAACTCCCAAGGTTACCATATTCTCTTCCCTGGGCTAGTTAAGTAGTCTCATAACTGCTCCGTTGTACTCTTGGTTTTTTACTTTCTGTTTTCCACAAAGTGATTTTTTGTTGTTGTTGTTTTGATTTAGTTTTTTGGGTTTTTTTTTGCAGCACTCAAGGCTTCACACTTGTGAGACAGGCACTTTTACTACCTGAGCCCCACCTCCAACCCCATAGTGATCTTTTAAAAATGCAAGTTAGATTTCATCACTTCCTTCCCTCATATCTTCCATTGGCCTCCAACACACTTAGACGAAATCCAGACTCTTCTCACTATGGACTACTAGGCCCTGCCTACCTGTTATGGCCTGAGTGCCTCTGTGAACTCATCTCCAGCTTCTTTCCATGCCAGTCACTGCCCCAATCCATATCGCCCTTCCAGCTGTTCCTGGTTGGACAAGTATGTTTTTACCTCTGGGGCTTTGTACTTAATATTCTTTCTATCTATGACACACTTCTCTGGATCTCCTTTTTCCTGATCTGCTCCTTCACCTAGCCTTTTTAGAGAGACCCCTGAGCACCTGTGTACATCCCTAGGCTCCCCAACTCTAAGCCTCTATATCCATCTTTCTCTCGTGATGTTCTCTTCTCTTCTCTCCATTGCATGCATATTGTTACCCTCTTTCCCACTATACAAACATTGACATAGTAGAATATAAATTGTACTAAAACAGGAACTTTATTCTATTCACTGCTATTTCTCCTCTGCCTTGAGCAGTGCCTGGCATATAACACATGCTCAATACATATTACTTAAATATTGAATTAGTGTTATAATTCAGGATGTCAATCAAACCTTTGAAGCCCCACACTACCTTATCTAATATTCTCCCATTAATTTAGTTGATAGAATTAAAGAGCAAATTTGGAACCTCATGATGGCATTGAAAATAACCCAGCTGTGTGTATTGGTTATTTTAGAGTGTTTTTAAAGTAAGGTGAATTATTGTAGGGTACCTGTGTTGTACTTACTTACAGTTGCAATGGAATCCTTATTATTTATGATAGAATTACAGTGTGGAGAGCACAAAGAAGTAGTACCAAGAAAGTAGCTTAAGGAATTATTCTAAAGACTGTGTTTCTGGCTTAGGTATAGTTGTGTGTGAGAATCCCTAAGGGAGAGGCACTGACATAAAGGTGGGGGACCCATGGGAGAAATGCTTGTAATGAGTTAGGGGAAAAATTTTTTTTGAAGTTTTTATTTTCAACTTGCTAATGTGATAAACTGAAATAAATCTGTCTCTTATGTCTCTTAGTACTGCTGGCGATGGACAGGTTTTAACTTCGGCTTTGATCTACTTGTAACTTACACCAATCGGTACATCATTTTCAAACGCAATACACTGAATCAGCCATGTAGTGGATCTGTCAGTTTACAGCCTCGAAGGAGCATAGCGTTCAGGTAGGATGAGATTTCCCTAACCTCCTTGTCACTCCACAGAAAAGACAAAAGAAAACTTTGGTAATTTACACCAATGATACATAGAAGATGTGAAAGTGCTAGCAACTAATAAGGCTCCATTCCTGTGAACGATATTATTAGTAAACTTGAAGCTATCACCTGGCCTTGTTGCTTTTCCCAGCAAATACAATACGCAAACTAGAAACATAGCAAGGTGGTTTTTCTAGGAAAGAATGTCTGCTCTTATCTTTAACTTTCTATAGGTTTCATTTGGGTTTTTGAGACAGGGTCTCACTACATAGTTCAGCTAGCCTTGAACTCTCTCCCCAAGTGCACTCAGTTTCTGTAGGATTTGCTTGGTAGCTGAGCTCTGCTATTCTCTTCCTGGAGAGGATGCTGTAGAGTGACAAATGGGAAAGTAGCTTATTGAATCGAATCAATTATTTTAAAATCATATTTTTATACTCACCTCTTGCCATATGTGAAAACTGTGGATTAAACATTTGATACAAGAGCTAGAACTGTGATACTCTTGGAAGAAGGCATAGGGTAAAGTCTTCATAACAATTGATTTGGCAGTAATTTCTTTGATATAACACCAAAAACATAGGAAATAAGGAAAAAATAAGTTAGACCTCATCAAAATTGAAAACTTTTAGTATCAAAGGATGCTGTCAGCAGTGAAAGGCAGCCCATGGAATGGGAGAAAATATTGGCAAACCATATCTCTGATACTGAAGATCCAGAATACATAGAAAACTCCTAAAAGTCTATAATTTTAAAAAGCCAGGCATGGTGGTATATGCATGTAAGTCACACATGTTTGGGAGGCTGAGGCAGAAGGTTAATTGCGTTCACAACTTTGAGACTAGCAACATAGTGAAACCTGTCTGAAAAATAAATAAATAAATAAATAAAAGAACACCCAGATAAAAAATGAGAAAAGGCAGTGGAAGTGCAGTCGCGTGGTATGCACAAAGCTTTGTTCAAGCCCAGCACTGAGGAAAAAAAAGGAAAAGGACTTGCTTGAACTTTCTCCAGAGAAGACACACAGATAGATAATGAGCACAGGAAAAGATATTTGACGTCAGTGATCATTAGGGAAATGCAAGTCAAAACCACAGTGAGAGAGTACCTCGTGCATATTAGGATGCTGTTACTCAAAATGGTAACAAGTGTTGACCAGTCTGTGAAACAATCAGAGCCTTTATACACTGCTGCAGCACTCTAGAAGACATGACCCTTTCAAAGTAATTAAGCGTAGAACTGCTGTATGGTCCAACAATTCCTCTTCTGGGCATTTTAATGTAGGGACTTAAACAGATATTTGTTGTAAACTCATGTTCGTAGCAGCAGTATTTATAGTAGCCAAAGGGTAGAAGCAACCTATGTGTCCATTGACAGACAAATGGGTGAGCAAAATGTAGTAACACACATACAATGGGACATTATTCCTTAAAAAGGAAGCCAGGCATGGTGGTACATGCCTGTAATCCCAGCACTTTGGTAGACTAGGGCAGGAGAATCGTAAGCTACATAGTGAGACCCTGTCTTAAAAAACAAAAAAGAAGGAAATGCCAGCATATACTAAACTTGAATGAACTTGAAGATACTGTTAGGTAAAATAAGCATGTCACAAAAGGACAAATAATTGTATGATTTTACTCATATTACCTACCTAGAGGAGACATATTTATAGGGACAGGAAGTAGGTTGGTGGCTGCCAGGCTGGTCAGTGGGGAGTTAATGTTTAATGGGTATAGAATTTCAGCTGGAAAATGGAAGTGTTGTGGAGATGGGTGACATGATGATTGCAGAGCACTGTGAATATGTTCAGTGCCACAGACTAGATACGAAAGTAATCAAAATGGTAAGGTTTATGGCATGTATGTTGTATATGTTTTAACACAGTAAAAAGTTCATTTATAAATTTTTTTTCTTTATTCGTTTATTCATATGTGCATACATTGTTTGGGCCATTTCTCCCCTCTACCCCCCACTGCCTCCCTCTCCCCCCCATATTAATTATTATACTTCAGAATAGCTGGCTTGTCAATCTGAATAGGATCTGTTTACAGTTGAAAAGACTAAAAGTCTTTTGTAAGATAAAAGACTATGGAAGAAAAAAATAAATATTAAAGTGAGAAGAGGGTATATTTAGCCTAATCTGTGTTTTAAAAAATCATGTGTTCTTTTTTTTTTTTTTTTTTTTTTCAATCCTAGATTGCGGTTGGCTTCTTTTGATAGTAGTGGAAAACTAATATGTAGTAGAACAACTGGCTATCAAATACTCACACTTGAAAAGGATCAGGTATGTGTAGTTACTTTTCTGTTACATCACTATAATATTTGTGTCTTGAATTTTCTTGAAAATTCTTAAGTGAAATTGACATTAAAATAATACTTCAATTTAAAGATTTGATTTTTTTTTTTTTTTTTGCGGTACCGGGACTTGAACCCTGGACCTTCACTTTGAGCCACTTCCACCAGTCCTATTTTTGTGAAGTTCTCTCGAACTGTTTGCCTGGGCTGGCTTCGAACTGCGATCTTCCTGATCTCTGCCTCCTGAGTAGCTAGGATTACAGGCGTGAGCCACCAGCACTGGCTTGTTGAACTTTCTTAAAAGTAAAGACGAAAGTACCATGTTCACTTCTGCATAACTCAGCTGATGCCACTTCAGTTCCTCAAGTCTGTGTATAAAGCATATATGAAACAGTATGAGTTTGTGTTTACACTTGGGTCCCATCCTCAAGATGCCTCATTATATAAAAGCAGATATTCCAAAATCTGAAAAACTCCCAGATTGAAACACAGACAAGGACACTGTGTCTACAGAAATGTAACTGAGATGATGAACAATTTGAAGGGCAGGGAAAAGCTGGTAATGAGGAAATAATGGTTTATATCAAAGAATATCTCTTTGAAAATGTTTAAAAAGTTATGATCCTTCAGTGTTTGATCCACTGTGTAGTTAAGTGTTTATTTGTACATTAATGGCAGACCTCTTAAAGCCAACCAGGTCTGTCTCCATAGCTCCTAAGTATTGAGAGAACATTTTTCTCTAGGACATTAAGGTTATAAGATGACAAACATTTGTAATGTTCTCCAAATTATTTGTAAAGCCATTTGTTTCTTCATACACCACTTGCGTGTAGAAGTTTCAAAATGTTACAGTGAGAAAATAAGCTATTTTCAGAAAGTAGAATTAGAATATTGAACTATAGAGGAAGTTTGTTTCTGTTAAAAACTAACCAGCATTCCAAAGGGCATGTTGTTTTAATAAAGGATTCAGAGCCTAGATGGTTCACACTCAATTGAGAAGAGACTATCGTAGGTCATCCTCAGCATTTCGAGGAGCCTTAACGTGATAGGTGTCACCTCGTAGGCCTGAGCAAGACCTCCTCCACAGCATCCTTACCAGAGGTCCTTCTGCCAGTGTGGGGACTCTGCTGGGTAGAGTTCCGGTTCTGTGAGAATGTCCATTATAAGGTGGATACAAGATGAGAAGGTTCAACTCTTCCTCCACTGGACTTCTCTGTCGATCCAATGGAACTGAATGGACAATAACTATCTTTACCTTCTACCTGGAGATATATGTATACATATGGCTCAAAACAGCTGGAAAGTTAAAAGCACAAGGCCAGCCTGGGCATGGAGTTGCATGCCTACAATAGCAGCACTTGGGAGGCTAAGACAAGAGGATCATGAGTTTGATATCAGCCTGGGTTGTGTAGTGAAGTCCTATCTCAAAAAACATTAAAAGAAAAATACCTTGGTGCAGTGCCTCACACCTGTAATCCCAAGTGCAATACATGGAGATCAGGAGGATCCAGGTTCAAGGCCAGTTCAGATAAAAAAGTAACAAGACCTCATGTTACTTTTAACAAACAAGCTGGGTGCCATGTACATTCACAGCTACACAGAAGGACTAAGTTGGAGGATTGAGGTCCAAGGCCATCCCTGGGGAAAAATGCAAGACCCTACCTTAAGAATAACTAAAGCAAAAAAGGGTTGGTAACCCAGGTGCCAGTAATCCTAGCTACTCTGGAGGCAGAGATCAGGAGGATTGCAGTTCAAAGCCAGCCCAAGCAAATAGTTTGTGAGATCCTATCTCAAAAAGTCACAAAAAGGGACTGGTAGAGTGGCTCAAGGTGTAGGCCCTGAGTTTAAGCCCCAGTACTGCAAACAAACAAAAAGAACTGGAAGCATTATTCTCCCAGTGGTAAAGCACCTACCTAGGAAGTGTGAGGCCCTGAATTAAAACACCAGTACTGCCAAAAACCCCTAAAAACACTGGGCCAACATGATGATTGTACTCCAGATGTTGCTGTGTTGCTTGATTTGTTCATTCAGCAGACATTTGTGTCCCTCTTGTCTGCTAGGTTTTA